GACAATGACTAGGGAGGATAGAAGGAGAATTGATGCCTTTGAGCTTTAGTGCTGGAGAAGAGTACTGAATGTACCATGGACTGCTAGGAAAACAAACAGATTCATCTTGGAGAGGATTAAACCAAGCAACTCCTTGGAGGCAAGGATTCTGGGGCTTCGTCTGACATAGTTTGGACATGTTGCCAGGAGGGACGGGTCCTTGGAGAGGGACATCATGCTTGGGAGGGTGGAGGGACGGCGCAGGAGGGGAAGACCCTCTATGAGATGGATTGATTCAGTGACTGGGGTAATCGGGATGGGTGTGTCCGAGGCAGTGTGGTTGGCGCAGGATAGAGCAGGGTTTAGGGCTGTTGTGCATAGGGTCACTATGAATCGCAAACGACTCGACGGCACATAACAACAACAACAAACTTACATTTACGTATATGTATGATAGATAGATAGATAGATATAGAGATAGATATAGAGATAGAGATAGATAAAATACATATGTTTGTGCATTCGTTAGGTGCTGTTGAGTCAGAATTGATTCATAGCGGACCATTTTGCAGGTTTTCAGGGGCTCTAATTTGCACAGGAGCAGATTGCTCATCTTTATCCCTCCTAGAAGCTGGTGGATTAAAACCCCGTGCCTCTTGGTTACCTGTGCAACTCCTTACCCACTAGACCACCATATATCTCCTTCTAATATTTTTATTTATATGTCTCCTGAAACTCTATGAACTTTGATAAATGTCGATACTTGTAGAGGGGCTTCAGGCTTTTTTGTTCATAGGGTCGCTATGAGTCGTGCTTGACTAAAAGACAGTCAACAACAAAAGAGCAAGGAAACTCTATGTGGTTCAAAATTAGGAAGCCTGTGCACCAAGGATGTGTCCTGTCTCCGTATCTTTTCAATCTATATGCAGAACAGATTGTCTGAGAGGCTGGGCTCTATGAGGAGAAATATGACATCAGTATTGGAGGTAGACTCATTCACAATCTGGGTTATGCAGATAACACAACCCTGCTTGCTGAAACTGAGAAGGACTTGAAGCACTTGCTGCAGAGGGTCAAGGACTGCAGCCTTCAATATGGATTAAAGCTCAACATCAGGAAAAGAAAGATTCTCACCACTGGGCCGATTGGCAGCATCTTGATAGATGGTGAAGTGATTGAGATTGTAAACAGTTTCAGTTTGCTTGGCGCTGCAATCAACACTCTTGGTACTAGCAGCCAGGAAATTAAAAGATGAATTGCATTGGGAAAGTCTGCTGTCAGAGACCTCTTCAAAGTACTAAAGAGCAACAATGTCAGTTTGGAGACTTAAAGTGTGCCTGATACAGGCCATGGTCTTTGCAATTACTTACTATGCATCAGAGAGCTGGATAATGACTAGGGATGATAGAAGGAGAGTTGATGCCTTTGAGCTTTGGTGCTGGAGAAGAGTACTAAACATACCATGGACTGCTAGGAGAACAAACAAGTTCGTCCTGGAGAGGGTGAAGCCAGGCTGCTCCTTGCAGGCAAGGATTCTGAAGCTCCATCTGACATACTTTGGACATGTTGCAAGGTGGAATCAGTCCTTGGAAAGGGCTGTCATGCTAAAGACCCTCAATGAGATGGATTGATTCAGTGACTGAGGTAATAAGGCTACGTGTGTCAGAGGTGATTGTCACGGGATTGAACAAGGTTTAGTGTTGTTGTACATAGGGTCACTATGGGTTGTAGGCAACTTGACAGCACATAACAACAACATATTTTATATATGCTACAGAAGGTCAAGGACTGCAGCCTTTAATATGGATTCACACACACACTCACACACACACACACACACACACATCTATGTCTTCTCACAATGAAACTCTCAAATTGCTTTGAACACTACTCTTGATTCAGAATGTGATTGGTAGTCCATCTGTTTCCTGGTATTCATTTAATTATATCTGTCATTACTTTTTTTAGCTATTATTAAATTTTATTAGTTTTAATGAACATTTACAGAGATTTTGGGTTCTCATTCATTCATTGTTGCACTGTATGTCATTACTTTAAATTCATTAAAATTACTGATTCAAACCAAAGGTCATCTCTCCTCCACATTCTTCCCCTGCTCTGCAGGTCATATTAGGATTTGTCTTTTTCTGAAGGAGTCCTCGTGGCACACTGGTTAAACTCTCAGCTTCTGACTGAAAGGTTGGTACTGTAAACCTATCAGCCTCTCCTTGGGAAGGGGGGCAATGTGACAGTCCACTTCCATAAAGACAGCTTTGGAACCCTCTCGAAAAGTTCTGCTCCATCCTCTAGGGCCACTATGTTTCGAAATGGACTCAAAAAGTAGTGGGTTTGCTTTGGCTGTTGGTATACAGACCTGTATTTATGATGATGATTGAAGGAATATTTTGTTACTTGTTGCAACAGAGGCCTAGGTGTGAGTCTCAGTGTTTCAATTACCCAGGAGCCCTGGTGACACAACTGTTAAGCACTCAGCTGCTGACTCAAAGGTCATTCATTTGAACCGACCAGCCACTTGCAGAAGAAAGGTACAGTAGCCTGCTTTTGTAAAGACAGCAAATGTGGGGACTCTCTGGGGCAATTCTACAGGGCAGTAAAGGGCAGCTGTGAGGCCGAACTGACTCAACAGCAATTAGGCCCACTCCCTACCTGTGATTTGGGAGACGCCACTTAGCCCTGAGCTTCCATTTCCCGTCAGTACAATAATGACAAATGTCAGCCCCATCACACAGGTTCGCTGCGAAGAGCAAATGAGATAATGTAGGGAGAGTGGAGCACAGAAGGGGACCATAACAGTCATAAAAATAGGTAATCTCTTACACTAGTGTTTTAGAAAATGAAGGCACTGTTTTAGAACTTCAGTGGGTTGATTTTACTAACCAATAATAACCGATAGCCTTGCTGAGAACATTTTAAAGCCCAGTTTCACAGAGTCAGAGGTCAAAAGAACAGGAAGGGAGAATAGCATTCTGTGTGCCACGACTGTTTGACCCATGACTGATGCCAGAAACGCTGTTGCAAAATACCAGATTAGCTTCTCTATCTGGCTTATCATCGTCTTCTTGGTCCATAAACATATAAATCCCTAAGGATCTTCCCTGTACTTCTCTTTCCATGACCCCTTTGCTGGTAATAATTTTTTTGAAGTGGGATGCCTTCATTCCTCAAAGCCTCCATCTGTTTCTCCGACCTTGGCGTCCTTCATTCCATCCTGTTGGAGGATAATTCGGCTTCAAACTTCAAAGCTGGAGCCATTTTTCTTCCGAAAATGACCCTGGGGTTTGAGTTTTCCTTTTCTGTTTGCAGCCTGCCATCACAGCAGTCCTTCCGCTATGCTGAGTATAGCTAGTCCTCAGATTTTCTTCTCTCTGTGCCCACTGCTCCCACTCAAACCCCTTCCCCACAAACCTGATCCTATTGCCAGTCCTTTAACTGTTTCTTCTCATCATCTCAGACGTACAGCTTGAGCTCCGTAACTCCTCATCCTCTTCTTAGCCCTCCACTCACCTCTCCTACCCCATCTCACTCCTCCTTAGCCACAGTGCTCCTGTTTTCCCCACTTGTGCCCTTCGTTGCCCCTTGCTCACAAAATAGGTCCCGGTTGTTGGTCAAATCTAGGATGCTGTCTGTGATCAGTCTTCGAACTACTATGCCAATCTTGATAATTCTGACTCTAGAGAAAAAGAAAAGTAAAAAAAGAAAAAGAAAAAGAAAAGAAGTCATGTAAAATCAGCTTTTTAAAAAAAAAATATTTGTTAACATTTTGCTTTTCTCACTCCTTTTTCCTAGTTATTTAAAGTTCTTTATGCACAGGCTTCCTCTCCTTCACGGTGCTGGACTCACATACAGTTTCTCTCGGTATTTCCACAGACTTGCCTATAACAATATTTAACTACTTACTGAGGGGATGATTAGTCCTACAGTAAAAACTCAAGGTCAGTTTGGCCCCACACTCAACAAGTTCTCATTGCGCGTCTTTCCACGGGCCAGACAGCTTGAAGCACTAGGGATGTAGCAGGTAGATTCTCAGCTCTGTATTTGTCTAGGAATCCCAGCGACGGTATCATTGGATTATTTGTGACTTTATACTATGGTATTGACTTTGTACAGAGTCTAAAGTGCAAAGATGAGGCGCTCAACCACTCATTACCATCAAGTGGGCACTGCCTTGCAGCTGACCTTCCACTGGGTTTCTGAGGCTGTAAATTGCAAGGGAGGAATCTGTCTATCCTTCTCCTGCAGAGATCCTTCTGAAGTCAACACTGCCGTCGGGTTAGTGTCACAACAGCCTACAGACAAGGTCACCAGAGCTTCCTTTAAAAACATGATGGTATTATGTGCCATAGAGTTGGATCGACTTGTAGCTGTCTCTCCAGTGGGTTTTCAGAGCTTGCGAAATACATGGCAGGGAGATCTGGTGGCTTAGTGGTAAAGAGCTGTGTGGACAACGCAAAAGGTAGACAGTTCTAATCTACAGCCAATCTATGGGAGAAAGATGAGCAATCTCTTCCATGTGACTTCAGCCTCTGAAAACCCACTGGGGAGTCAGCTGTAGGTCGGTTCTGACTAGACAGTTCACTGCCACCACCACCAATTTCCTGAAAAGAGGTTGCCTGTCTTTCTCCCTTTGAGCAGCTGGTGAACTTGAACTGCCTATCTTTGGGTTGACAGTACAACTCTTTACCAATACTAGCCACCAGAACTCCCTTTTAAGGAGGATAGTATGCATGTATGTATGTGTGTGTGTATGTATGTATGTATGTATGTATGTATGTATGTATGTATGTATGTATCAAATTAAAAATTTGTACTCCGCTTGCCTGAAAAATACGAGACTCACTTGTTTGGTGAGATGTTATGTTTATATCAGGAAAGAGAAACAGGTGAGTTTCCCAAGCTTCCTCCCAAGAGGAGCAAGTGGTTCACGAGGAGGACAGGGGTGTGAGGACGGCGGGCTGTGGAGGTCCCTGCCGTCACTCGTTTCTTCGCAGGCAGGCAAGCCCATGACACTAACAGAATGTGCTCTTGAACCTTCTACAGATGGCAGTCACAAACTGTTTCCCTGTGAAGTCTGTGGAAGAAGCTTTGCAGCAGATGTTCTGGTAAACAGACATTTTGTGGACGTGTTTCATTGGAGTTAAATGAGCTGGAAAGTCAGTGAGGCGGCAGCAGCGGCAGAGATTAAAGACACATGTGGAGGGAGAGCCTGGGCAGGGGGAGGCCTGTAACCTGTGGCTGGCGGGCCCTGAGGACACGGGGCGGGGTGGGGGTGGCAGGCCTCGTTCCAGAACGCATCGGCTGAGCATGGCCCTCCTACTAAAAGGATGTCAGCGCTTGGCACAGACAGTGATCCCTAGAGAGGGCTAGGCTCTTTGACTTTTCCTATAAGCATCAGAAAACCAAATGGCAAGGCCAAAGCACCAAGGAAAGTAATGAATTGAGAGGGATAAGTCCTGGGCCTGGGGGGGTGGCTAGAAACTCAGCTTTTAGCCAAAACTTTGTGACTAATTCTCACAAATTCTATAGCCTCTGTTTCCTACTCTGCCATGTATCAGGACAGGCCCCTCCTGTTTCATAATTGCGATAACAGTTTGAACAAAGTAACACATGAATGTAAGACCTAATGGTCATCCAGGTTTGGGCTTGGCTGTAAGTGCCCTAGTAGGTGGCTATAACGAAAGTTTGATTTATTTCAATATTAGAGAAGCACACTTGTGTTGGGACCCACCAGTATCAAGAGCGTTCCGGGAATGATGGTCAAATCTAAAGCGATAATGCGATTGTTTGTTGGGACATTTTAGATCAACTGTCTTCACTTAAGGGATTGGGACTAACAGCCTTACTACAATGGGCTGAAACAAGTCGTAGAGTTTTTGGATTTTCTTTTTCCCTCTGGGGAATTTGAAATGTGAACTGTTAATCTAACAACATGCCTCTAGAAACTTTGATAAGTGTCGATAGTTATAGAAAGGCTTCAGGTCTTTTGTTCATAGGGTCGCTATGAGTTGTGCTTGACTCAACGGCAGTCAACAACAACAACAGTGCTTCACGAAGCTGGAAGGGGAAGTCACATTTCACCTTTGTGCCCTAGGATCCACTAATGTTACTCTTACTACATTTCCTTGGGATTGATAATCCTGGCACTCCACCCATTGAAAATGGGTTTGAGATCTAAGAGGTACCATTTGGAGAGGAATCATTACGTGTCAAGTGCTTCTCAAGTCCTCTTGAGTGCCACTTCCTGGGCCTATTTCTAGCCCATAGAATGTTTGATTGGGTGCTCTGATATCTGTCCTTTAATTTAAATGGTAGGGATGGTTACTAGTCAAGAGTAGTGATATTTATAGAGCCTGAGTGTTATTGGGTCAGGACAAAGAAGCTGTGATAAATGTTATGCTTCTTATCCACCAAGAAGAGCATACAGACTGAAAGGGAAAGATACTAAGACCCTGGTTCCTCCCACAGTATACACAACTCCAACTTGAACTCACTGCCATCACGGCGGGGCTAATTCATAGCTGACCTGCCAAAAGGTTTCCAGGATGCTGTAAATCACCCCAGAAGAGCTGGCCCATTTTCCTCCCTTTGCGTCGCTGGTAGATTCCCTATGGACCACGCTAACAGAGCCCCCTAATGTCATTGTTATGTACCATCGAGTGGGAAGTAACTCGTAGCTGACCTTATAGAAGGTTTTTGAGGCAGTAAATTACACACAGGGAGATTGCTCATCTTTCTCCTATGGAGCAGCTGGTGGATTTGAACTGCATTCCTGTAGGTTGGAAGTACAACTCCTTACCATTAAGCAACCAGAAGCTCCCTATTAGACTTCACATAGGATACGATTAAAACTCTATTCCTAATTTGGTTCCCTAGTTTTTGTAACGGAAATGATGTGTACATAAAGGGCTACAGATTGGAATGAACATGAAGCCAAATTTGCCGGTTCTTTACTCTAGAGTCCTGTCATCACCCTTCCCCAAACCCACAATTTTATGATACATAGCGTGTGTGAGGAAAGGCAGGCTAGGCTTTACAGGTACACCCTAGCCACTAGGTAGTGGGGGCTGTTGACATTGACCTGGGTGTTAAAAAGTTTCTGACTGTGCATATTCTACATAACAACACTTACCCACCTTTTACAGGGAAGGCATGCACCGATATGTAGAAAACTCTTCAATAAAAAACGTAAGCCTTTCAATTCCTTGAAGCAAAGATTACAGGGCACGGACATTCCTACTGTGAAGAAGGTTCCTCAATCCAAGGTACTATTGCTGTCTTTCTAGTCCTTTTGCAAATTGTTAAGTATCTGAAGGTCCATTTCTAAGCTCTCTTTTGGTATTGTTTGATAATGAAGTGCAATATCATGTAAGCATAACCTGTCTTCACTGTCTTCTTTTATAATCTCCTATGTTTGGCACCCCAAATGTATTTCAGATACTTTTTCGATTTGGAGGGGGAAGTCTTGATCATGTTGTTGAGCTGTTATTGTAGTGTTTCCTTGAGTTGGAACCAACTCATAGCTGAGTTTCCAATGGGTTTCAGAGGCTATAAATCTCACAAGAGGAGAGTGCTCACCTTTCTCCCTCAGAGACGCTGATGGTTTTGAACCAAGCAATTAAGTTGGAAGAAAATGACCTTTTGTCTTTAAATTTTCCTTAGGAGTTTTGTGATTTTTCTTTGTTTTTCTGATTCCCTCCCTACTACCCTCTCATTTTACCTTCACTTCTATGACTTGTAAATCTTAATGACTATATTTTCCAAGCCTGTTTATCTTTTGAAAAAGAAATTTTCTCTTCTCTTTAAACTACATCATCCTGTTTCCTGTAAATGCAAACGCAAGCTTCCCAGCATGGGTCGTTTTGTTTATTGGTTTTATTCCTTTACAGCTCCAACCTGTGAAGAAATCTAACTGGAGACAACAACACGAAGACTTTATCAATGCAATTCGGTCAGCAAAGCAGTGTATGATAGCCATTAAGGAGGGTCGGCCTCTCCCACCTCCGCCACCTCCCGCTATCAACCCAGGTATGTGGCCATTTTGTTTTGCTTTTGTTATTTTACGCTTAAGGATAGAAATTATCAAACAGTATCATTAATAGCACATGCAAAAAAAATGCTATTGAAGATCATTTTAAATTTACTAGAACAATACTTAGAGAACTGCCAAACATTCAAGCTGGATTTAGAAGAGGTTGTTGCACCAGGATTATCATTGCTGATGTAAAATGAATCTTGGCTGAAAGCAAAGATTATCAAAAGTAAGTCTATTTGTGCTTTATTGACTAGACAAAAGCATTTGACTGTGTGGATCATGACAAGTTACAGCTAACACTGAGAAGAGTGGGAATCCCAGAGCAATTAAATGTGCTCGTGTGATACCTAGACCTAGACCAAGAGGCTGTTGTGCAGAGAAATGGAATGTTGTTGTTTTGTATCATTGAGTCAGAATTGACTCACAACTGACCCTTTAGCAGGTTTCCAGAGGCAATAAATCACATGAGATTGCCTACCTTTCTCCTGCAGAGCAATAGTGGATTTGAATCACATGCCTTTGGGATTGCAGCTCCTTTCCTTATCACTAAGTCACCAGGGCATGGTTTAAAATTAAGAAAGGTTGTACATCAGGGTTGTATCCTTTCTCTATACCTATTCAATCTTTATGATGAACAAATTATTTGAAAAGCTGGACTCTATGAAGAAGAATGTGACATTAAAGCTGGACTTTATGAAGAAGAATGTGGCATTAGGATTGGAGAACGATTCATTAATAACTTATGTTATGCAGATGATACAACCTTGCTTGCTGAAAGTGAGGAGGATTTGAAGTGTTTGATGCAGAAGATCAAATACTGCAGCCTTCAATATGGATTTCATTTAAACATCAAGAAAATAAAAATTCTCACTACTGGACTGTTAAGCAACATCATGATAGATGGAGAAAAGATTGAAACTGTCAACAACTTCATCTTATTTGGATCTACAATTAAAACATTTAGTGTCAGCTGTCAGTAGATTAAGGAGACATATTGCACTGGGAAGGTTTTCAGTCAAAGACCTCTTCAAGTTACTGAGGAAAAATGATGTCATTTTAAAGACTGAGGTGTGTGATTCAGGCCATGTTCTTTTCAATCTCTTGCTCTGCTGCTTAGAGCTGGACAGTTAATAAAGATGACAGAAGAAAAATTGGTACCTTTGAACTGATATTGGAGAAGAAAACCAAATATACCATGGACTGCCAAAAGAACAAACAGATATGACTTGGAGAAGGTGCAACTAGAGTGCTGCTTGGAGGCAAGAATGGCAAAGCTTTGTCTCACATATATACTTATATATACACTTAGAGCATATTGTTAGGAGAGAGACAGCATGCTTGGAAAGGTGGAGGGCTAGTGAAGGAGAGGAAGACCCTCAATGAGCTGGATTAACACAATGACTGCAGCAATGGACTTGAGTGTGTCAGAGACTGTGAGAATGGCACAAGATAGGATCAGATGGGGTTCAGATTTGATGTTCATAGGTTCGCTATGAGTTGTACTTGACTCAATGGCACCTAACAACAACAACAACTCCTACAGAATGGAGCCTCTGGTGTGTGACTTTTAGCCTAATCATCATGCCTGACTTAATCTTATGCACACTAATGTCTACAGTGATAATTGTTCTAGTATTTTATGATAAAATTTAGTTTATCCATACTTTATTCAATTCTGCAGAAATATTGTTTCCTTTGAACTCATCCTCAAAATATAAATATTAGAGAACACTAGTGTACATAGTGCTATGTATTGTATTACTCAAGGTGGGGGGGACACCATTCACATAAAGTTTTTCTGGGGATAAAACTTTCTAAGCAGTTCCACAGTAACTCCATACAGCCAAACACACAGCAATCCCTGCTTTCACCATTCCCCAGGTAAAATTTGCATGATATGAAATTCAACATTTTAAATATTTTAAGGGGTCAATTCAATAGCCTTTTTTACTCAGAACCCCAAAATTTTAAATGTTAACATTAATGAAAATGGAAGATTAGTACAATGAATACTCACATGCTTTCTACTAAAATTCAAGAATTGTTGACATTGTTGCCATATTTTCTTTGGATTTTTTTTCCCTCCCTCTATTTTTGGAAGAACCACTTAAAAGTAAGCTGTAGCCTCCATAACACGTTACTCCAAATTGTTTCAGTATGTTCCATCTCTTAGGCATAAGTACGTTTTCTTATAAACTACAATATTATTATCATACTTAATATATAGGTTCATATTCATATTTTCTCCGTTATGGCAAGAATGGCTTTTAAATGTATACAGAATACTCTACCCAACAGCAGCAGAATATGCATTCTTCTCCAATGTACATTAATCATTCTTCAGAATAGACCACATGTTAAGTCACAAAACAAGTTTTAATACTTATAAAGAAAACAAATTATGCAAAATATACTATCCAACAACAAAGAAATGAAAGTAGAAATAAATCACAGAAAGAAACCCATTTAATTCACAAATATATGGAAATTAATACACAAGCAAATAACCAATGGGTCAAAGAAAAGAAATTAAAAATTATTTAGGAAAGAATGAATATAAAAACACAATGTACCAAAACACACAGATTTCTCAGTGAGAAATTTGCAGCTCTAAATGCCTACTTCAAAAAGAACAAAGATTTTAAGCAACTAACCAAATTTTATACTCCAAGGAACCAGAGAAAGAAGAGTAAATTAAACACAACACTAAAAAAAGAAGAAAATAAGGTTGAAAGTCTAGGGGGGAAAATGTTATAAATCTATGGCCAGTTGATTTTAGTTAAAAATGCCAAGTCCATCCAGTAAGGATGGGATAATCTTCAACAGACAGTGGTGGTTTTCCACATGCAATGAAGTTTTATCCTTACTTCATATCATATATAAAAATTATCTCAAGATGGAACAATGAAAACTCAATATAAGAGTTAAAATGGCCCACTTCTTATAATCAGCAATTGAGCATTAAACCATTGGAGCACCAGACCTCCTCCATTCATCATCAGAAGTGTACAATATGGTCACTATGAGTCAGAATAGACTTGAGGGCACACAATAACAGTTTAGAAAAATAAGCTGATTGAAATATTTTTCCCCTTCTTAACTGGACAGAAGATTACCATCTAATAGGACCCCATTTTGAAGCATAGTGGGCATCTCTATATAAAGAACCAGATAAATCTGATGGTAACAAATTGGTTTTTAATTTATTATTGTGAGGTGCTGTCAAGTCCACTATGATTCATAGTAACCCTATGAACAGCATCTCTGAGCCTTGTCCAATTAGGTACCATACTCATAACATCTGATATACTCAAGCCCATTGTTAGTCACTGTGTCAATCTATCTTCTCAAGGATCTTCCTCTCTTTCTCAGCCCTCCATCTTTCTCTGTATAATGCCTTTTTCCAAGGACTGGCCTTTCCTGACCACATGCCCAAAGTAAGTGAGATGAGATTTCACCATCTTTGCCCATAAGGAACACGCTGGTTGTACTTCCTCCAAGACAGATTTGTTTGTCTTTTTGATAGTCCATGGCATAGTCAGTACTCATCGCTAACATGGCAATTCAAAAGCATCCATTCTTCTGTCATTCTCAGTCATTGTCTGACTTTCCAATGTATATTGTTGTTGTTATTTGCCATCGAGTTGCTTGTGGCTCATAGTGACCCTATGTATAACAGCTCTGAACCCTGCTATATCTTGAGCCAACCTCACTGTCTGTGACATATTTACACCCATTACCTCAGTCACTGAGTCAATCCATCTCTTCCAGTGTTTTCCTCTCCTGCACTGTCCCTCAACCCTTCCAAGCATGATGTCCCTCTCCAATGACTTGTTCCTCCTTGCAACATGCCTAAAGTATGTCAGATGAAGCTTCAAAAGCCTTGCCTCCAAGGAGCATCTTTGTTTCACTCTCTCCAGGTTGAATCTGTTCTCTTAGCAGTCCATGGTATATTCAATACTTTTTTCCAGCACCACAACTTGGCTTGGATCGGGTTTACCTTAATCTTTAAACTGACATCATTGTTTAGCATTTTGCAGGGGTTGTAGACAGTAGATTTTCCCAGTGCAACACATTCTTTGATTTCTTGACTGTCGTTACCATCGATGTTGATTGTGGATCCAAATAAAATGGATTACTGACAACTTTGATCTTTTCCCCTCTGTCTATCATGACGTCATCAAATGGTGAGCATTTTTTTTTATTTTATTGGGAAAAACATGTTGGGGATACAAGGAGGTGAGGGTTGGGAGCAGAAGGGTGAGGATGGGCAGGGATGAAAATTGCAGGGATGCAGTTGCAAGGCTGCACAATTTGGTTGGTGGGGGGAGAAGGGGAATGAAATGAAAAAGATCCAGTGGGGACCAGATGATACAGGGCAATGGTAAGCATAGTCCAATGGTGATTAAGCAATCTGTCTTTTTCACTTGTGGGTTTCTCATTTGGGAATTGGGTGCAGACTCCTGACTTCTTCATGCTGAACAGGGGTGTTGATGTGAAGGGGGAAAGGGAACACACTTTATCATCTTACTGGTGGTCTTGGGGTTAAGCTGCTTGCCTTCCTGTTCTGTTAGAAGATGTTTCCCTGACACTCCTCTCTGGACTGCAAGGTGTTTTCCCACGTGGGTCCAGTGGGGATGGCTGACTGAACCGTGAGGCTCCATCCTCCTTTGCTTCCTTAACTTGTATTTCTTTTTTGTCTCTGGAACTGGGTTCAGGGTCAGGTCTGGAGTAAAACTCAGTGTTAAGGTTACCTATAAAAAAGGGAGCAAATCTAGAAAGAATAAACTTGTGAGTTACAAAAAGAAGGGCTTTGGGGGTGTTACTTATGGGTGTACTGGGGGAGAGGGTGGAAGAAAGTAGCCTCGATAAAATTCTCTGTATACCCTAGGCAGTTTTTTTGTACCCAGGGGTTGGATGGTACAATCTGAGGGCTGAGGAGCTCACCCCGAGGGCCAGCCTGCCCCGCCAGTGGCTGAACGCATGGCTTGCC